GGCTATAACAGTACTTCACTCTCGAGTGGACGAACAGTGGTCGACCTTCAGTTTCCGCTCGTCCACCATTTGCAGCCGTACAACTGAGTCAACCGCACGGGTGGCCGGGGCACGCGGTTCCCTGTGGCGGTAGTGATATATAATGTGCATGCCTGTAGAAATTTTAAAAAGCGGGCGGCAACCCCGCCTGCGACACCGACTCGATTGATGACGCTGTCCTAACTTTGTCTACTTGACTGCCACCTCACCCAGTATATCTGAAACTGTAAGCAGATAATATTACCGGCAAAGACAAGAGAGACTGTGATGGCTATTTCTGGCTTATTAGCCGTCGTCAGCCAGTCACACCCAGACTCAAGTGGCCTCCTACCCGAGCCTCGAACTTGCGACTTCTTTGATCAGCGTCACACGTCCTTACCACTGAGCCACGAGCTCGTTCTCTTGCCGGGTTAGGTCGAGAGATATTTAAATTCATTGATGAACGTTCACTGAATCGCTAACGGAACTCATCTGTCCCGGTCTTTGCCAGCAATAATATCTGCCTACACTACCAGCTGCTACGGCTGTCAGGGCGTCTGTTGAGACCCCAGGCAGAACGGGACAGATGAGTTCCGTTAGCAGTCCATCAATGAATATCTGAAAATGTCCATTTCCTGGAGCTGACTCTCGCTAAGAGCAGTGTTTCTTTTGAGTCTGTGATGCGTTGCACAGCTTCTCAAGTCTGACGACGCCCTGGGGATCCAGTGTCTAAAATTTACTGGATAAAGTTTCCTAATTTTCCCAAAGAACGCCTTGAAATTACATTTCTTGGGATACCAGCCTTACAATTTATACGAAATGATATAACTGCTACCGTCTAACCCCATCCACCCTGAACGGGACCATGTGCTTGCGTTGAGGTCTACAAGGAGCATGCCAACCAAGTACTGTTTGTCTCTCATTGAAACTGCCCAATAAAGACGGGGACAGAGGCCTTTGCAGAAATGTTGCTAATTACACAGCGGCACTTTTTGCACTTCATCTTACTCCGCCTTTTTAAGACGGCTACATGGATGGCCAAGTTTCAGTCACCGGCACCGATTTCTTATCGCATATTTGTTGAATCAGGTTACTGATGTCAACCTAAGACTTCTAGTTTGGGAATACCGTCCTCGCCGTACGCGTTTCTTTTTACAACCTCAGTATTGAGTCGAAGGTTTATTTTTGAAAAGGAGGATAAAACTGCATTGCATAGACTGGAGGGGAGAGAGCGGGCGGTGGGCTGTTCACCGAAGTCAGGGCAGCTGATGCTTTCATGTCAACATATCCTATTTGTGAGCTTACATCGAGCTGTCTGGATAGAAAACTGTGCGGTTTTTGTGTTGGTCTAGTCAGCGCTGTGTCGCTGCATGAATCCTAGCATTCCATCCTTGTGGTTGCACGATTCGCTATATTGGCAGCACTAGCGAAAAGCCCCAGAAACCTGTTTTGCTGGCACCTACCAGAAAGCGCACGAGGAATTCTCAGGGATCCACACTGATAAGTCGAACCCCTCGCGGCTGTGTCGCACAGCAGCAAAACATGGACCAAATGCGCGTCTTTATTTTTCGATCTAGTATGTGTGCCGTCAGCGTGGTGTATCGTGCACCAGAAACGGAGGTGGGAACGGTAAGCGAGTGGGTAGATTCCCCGCGAGTCTGCTTTAACTCTTTTTTCATTCGCGGTAGTTCGCTGCGTTGCTTCAGCTTGCTGTAGCCTTCG